AGAGTGCATACATTTACAGTGATCGTTGGTCATGAAGGAAAAAACAGGATTGGTTGCATTGAAAGCGTTTTTCCCTTTAAATGGTCGTCCATTTGGTACGTGCACATTTAGGCACCACACGAAACGTTCACGTGACGTCATAATAGAATAACCGCATGAGGAATGTATTCATGCATTTACTTGTAAATTCCAATAGGTTATAGTCTGGTTATAATTGATATAAAAGCCAAGAATATTCCATTCGGCAGCAGGTGTGTACGATTTTACAATTTTCTGTGACTCCCCTCATCTCGTGTAAGTAGAATATTTAGGTTCGGATTATCCTTTTGTTGGGAAGGCTTTGTATTCGGAGCAGCCAAATCTTCCTCACTATGGACGGTACATGTACAGTGTATAATGTGTGCTCTAATTTTTCAGCAGGTTGCAAATTAATTCAAATTTCCCCTCCTCTGCGTAGAGATGAGTGCCTAATATGAGCCAATGAACTTATATGCAATCCTGCCATTTTGTTTTGTTATTGATGCAATAAAGCGGGTCAAACGTAATGGACGAACCTGGGAATAAATTGAGTATTGCTCTATATCCTATAGTGTTGTTCTTAGAATCTTTAGGAGCTAGGTGTATTAGAACAATCGTCTCTAGATAAAAGAAAACTATTTCTCTATTATTTGTTTAGAAGCTAAGCATTTTTCTTTTGTCATTGCAAAAGTACCATAATGCAATCGTATTGTGCAATCGTGCTAGTTCTCTTCTTTGTTAATGGACCAGCCAGTGCTCCCCCTCCAAGCTTGTACTACAGAGGCCAGCCAGCCAGCGAAGGTCTTGTCACCTGAAAATTAACCTAACCTACTTTTGGCTGCACTTCGTACTCGCTCTTTTTTCAACTGAAATTCCCGCAACCCAGGAAGGGTCAAAGTTCATCGTGATCATACGACAGATCACTCTGGGGACCATCTTCAATTCTTCATGCAATATTCCTAACTCGAACTGTGGGCCCGATGCTAACTCACCCTAACCCTGGATGTAGTCTTAAAGCCTGTCTGCACCAGTTTAGCCAGGGGGATTAGACCTCCCTGCAAGGTAACTGACAGATGGTTAGCTCATCAACTAAGTTCTCAAATTAACGAGCTCACAAGAATAAGGGGATCATGGGGATCAATGGTCACCGATTAGGCATTGTTTGCTAAATAGATGGCGCAAGTAGCTTTAAGTACCGGTAGTGCAGTGGGGCTTTAAAATATAAATCCAATTGCAGTGCTAGACCTAGCACTATACTTTTTGATGCAAGAGAACATGGTCCGAAGGTTGCCAGAATAAATGTTGGCTTATCTGTGTCTGGTGAATAAATTGGGAGCCGAATGTATGTCTATCTACAGTACCTGTTCGTGTTTCTGTGTATCTGTCATTGGTTACCAAAATAACCTGATGTGACTGTAACCTCCCCTTGGTCCCCCTCCCTTCCCCCTGCAGGCATTATCCGAATCTGCCTCTCCAATACCCTCCCAAATCTGGATTTCTTTTGCATTGAGGAAGCTAGGTGACGAATATTAATTTATGTAATGATGAAAGCTTGGATGCACATGTTTTGTAGTTTGTAATAATCATCAAGTGAGGTATCAGGCGGAAAGGTATCGAACAGATCGTGGGAAGACAAACTGAGAAGAAGTCACGTTGAATCGTGGCCACGTGCACGTGCCTATTACTGTTGGCCTGGATGATGCAATACGATAAACAGCACAACATTTGATGATTCAATTTGGTTTTGTTTGTTCTACCAAAGGATTTTGGTTACAGGATTGTATGGGAGCTATTTGCTTTGTATATTTGCCAACAATCGCTTTGTCTGGGTGCAATATTAAAGCTTCCGCATATTTCAATTCATCTTGTGTTCCCCCGCCCAACTCAGTCTTGATGTCGAATGCTCTTCTTGCTTGCCTCCCCCTCCTCCATACCTAACATCCCCCCCCCCCCCCCCTCGGGCTCAAAAGTAAAAATCTTTGAGTGACTGGTTTTACCATACTCATTTTCCCCAATAGATTGAAATATCTTGATAATCAGACGGGCAATGGGCCTGTAAAAGTCATAGGACTCCTAACTGACCTAAAGGTTTATAATTATGATTGGAGCATGAGCTAAATCCAGGCTTTTTTTTAGAATCTGAGGCAAAGATGCCCAATCCAATCCCGGTGACAATAAGTACTCCAGGGTCACTTTTCAACATCCTTCTTCTCGTGTTTGTAATGATGAAAGCTTGAACGCATATCAAATGAACTCAAATCAAATCATTTATTCACTCAATATAAAAACAGATACATAGAATTGCGAATAAATGCATACATGTATAACAAATATAAAAAGATGGACAGAGTAAAATCAGTACGGTTGTTGACATCACAAGTAACATAAATTGAGTGGGGATCAGATTAAAGATCCATTTAAATCTTATCATTTCATATAGGTTGTACTCAACAGTAAGTCGGGTATCGAACAGATCATGGGAAGACGAAGATGAGAAAAGGTCTCGTTGCATCATGACCTTTTGGGAAAGTTCACATGGAATCGTTGCCACCTTGCCACGTGACTATTATTGCGGGCCTGGATGATGAGAAACGGAAGTGTGAAAAGATCACGTTGCAGCGTGGCTATGCGAGTACCATCGTTCACCTGAATGATGAGAAATGATAAACAGTACAACGTTCAACGATTCAGTTTGTTTCGTTTTGTTCTACAAAAGAATTTCTTTATGGAATGGTATGGGAGCTATTTGCACTGAATGTTTGCCAACAATCACTTTATCCGGGCTTTTGCGTATTTCAATTCCCACGTTGTTCGGTTGAAAGAACCCCAACAGTTTTGTTAGCTTTGTGCTACACTGCCAGAAGAAGGAGGTGCGTACTAGTATTAAAATAGTAAAAAGTATGAAAGAAAAAAAAAACTGAAAAAAGGGATTTTTTTGTTGTTGTTGCTCACAGTCACCCTGATAGTAATAGTAAAAAGCAGGGCGGTTCACCAACAAATTGTCCGTTAAGCAATTATTTGAACTTTTAAGTTGGTAATTTATTGCCTGCTTTCCTTGTGCAGATTCAGTTATGTTTGTATGGAGAAATACACAAATATTGTTAAATTGCTTTATATCGGACCACACTTGGCCATTTTCCATATGTGTGCTCTCTACCAAATATCGTTCTCCCCCCATGCATTTTACATTGTTACTTCAAACAGTGTGCAAGCATAAAAGATATTTTGTTATGGACTCTTTTTTCCTTCTTCTCAGCTACAGCTTTCCACTGCTGCTCAGTTGTGCAATTTTTTATTTATGTTTTGTATTATGTCATCGATTGCAGTACCCACTTTGAAATACCTATTGTCCTGTAAATGCCATAATCGTTCATAAAAATTATTCTTTGTCCTTTTGTTATTGAGTTGTTAATGGAGAGGTTCAAGCGTGACTTTGGTTCTGCTGTTCCCCCCTGAGGCTATTCTGTTATCTTTGTTGGTGATTTTTATCTCTCCAGGTTTTTTTTTAGCTGAAAAGAAAAGCCTTGGTACTGGGAAGGCAGGAAAGCATTGACCTGCTTTCCTTTCTACACTGGTAGTCCGGTCCCTTTTCAGTATTTGATAAATGAAGGGTTTAGTGACACAAAGACGTAACTCCATATTTTGCCAAAATGAGTATTTGATATTAAAATGTTCAGAAAAATGTGGGCTTTCCACAAAACACAAAGACTTAACTCCACCCAACACCCCATTGAAGTCAATGTCTAGTGAAACATTGACTTAACTCCAGCTGAAGTGCTCAGTGACACATAAACCACTTTTTCTCAAAAATGGCCAAAATAGAGTTACGTCTTTGTGTCACTGAACCCCTCGAAATACAGCTACAAGATAGGATAGGAAAGAAAGAAGGGGAAAAAGAGGAATAGTAGATGGAGGGGAGGGGGATTGCTATTATATAGCCTTCTTTCTGATCCTGTATCGTTCCTCAAAATGTGATTATTCAATAAGAAAAGGACAAGGAACGAATACAGCTACAAGATAGGATAGAAAAAGAAAGTAGGAGTAAAAGAGGAATAGAAGATGGAGCCTTCTTTCTGAACCTGTTTTTTTTCCTCAAAATGTGATAGAATTAGCTGCATGATAGGATAAAAACAAAAGTACAGTATAAGGAGGTGGAGGAGATGTAGAAGGAGGATCTGGAGAAAAAGAGAGAGGGAGAAAATGAAATTACTTTAGCATCCTTTTTTCTTAACCACTATCTTTTCCCAACTGATACTTTAGCTAATAAAAAGCAAGGGTAGAATAGAACTACAAAATAGGATAAAAAATGCAAGTAGGAAAGAGAGGAAAAATAAACATTACTTTAAAATTCTTATCTGAAGTAATATGTTTTCCTCAACTGAGACTAGTCTTGAGAGGGAAACAAGGGGGCAGTTCGGCCACAAGATCGGGTGGGGAGAATAAATTTGGAAGAGGAAGAGGAACAAGAATAAAAGACAGGGAAGGAGGAAAATTTACTTTCAAATCCTTCTTTCTGTTTGGTTATGTTTTCATGGTGTGATAGTTGAAGGTAAGGACAAGGCTACACTATAAGCTACAATATAGGAAAGGAAAATAGGAATAGAAGTGAGGGAGACATCAATTACAAGGGACAGTTTGGCCACAAGGTTGGGTGGGAAAAGAAAGTGGGAGGAGGAGGAGGAATCAGAAAAAGAAAGTGAAGAACAGGAAAATGTACTTTGGAAAACTTCTTTCTGTATTTATGGTTATCTTGTCCTTATCTGATAGTAACAAATATGAAGAGGAAAGTAGAATACAGCCATAATTTTGCAATATATGCATATGTGTGATTTTACTTCTGTACAAAACAAACATCTTTTCATCTGAACAGATAACAGATGATTAGTAATCTATGAAAGGATTTGCTGTCCACAACATGGAAGAGTTAAAGGCATGGCCATTCTACGGAATTAACCGTATTTTCTTCATTTTTTCCCCTTTAGAATCTGGTGATGAAGAGGCACCCGGGACCGAAGGGGTCACCCCCAATATAGAAGTGGCCCCAAAAGGAACATTTGGTGCCCTCGGCTCCCTCGCTGCATGCTATGACTCTGACAGTGGAGACAGCTTCGTCGCAGAAAGTGGTAAGTAGATAAAGAATCTCATAGAAATAGCAGTCCTCATTGATGTCTGATTGGTAGTATGGAACATGTTTAAAGGCCCACTGCACTACTTGTAGCTACTTGCGCCCTCTATATAACAAACAATGCCTCATCGGTGACCATTGGTCCCCCATGATCCTCTTTTTCTTATGTTAACTGAGAGCTGAGTTGATGAGATAACCACCTGTCCAGTGACCTTGCAGGGCAGTCTAATCCCTCCTGTAAACTACGGCAGATAAGCTTTAAGGGACAATTGTTCAATTGTCTTGTCCGTACTCTGGTTGAATTCTTATTATCAACCCTGGACACACTAATTGTTAACATGCTGGAAAAGTGTTGATTGGTAGTAAGCGCGACACTCCCTTTAAAGACATGTAGAAGAAGAGTCTCATGGGGTATTCGACACCGGGTGTTTACCTACATGTAATAGTGATATTGGATTCTTATATAGCGCATGTATCGACCTTACAAGGTCCTCAAAGGATTAGCTTTCCGTTTTAGGACGAACAATGCTCTGTTTTTTCCCCATATGGTAAAGTCCTCATCTGACATTTGCACCAACTAAGCCTCTTGAAAAAATGGAAGACACATGGGGTTATTCGTTGAGTTGACTACAAGGAAACTGGTGACCCACCAACTTTAAACTTGTTGTATTATCCTGCATGCAGGGCTAAACACTAACAGATGCTTGGGACACATGGGTACCTAAAATCAGTAGTCTGTACCCCCTACACTTAGAGGCCCAAATTCACAAAGGAGGTTTGTCGACAAACCTTGGTTTTCGTACGTCATATGACGCGTTTTTTACGCATTTTTTACAAACCTGTTTTGTAAAGAACAAAAGGAGGTTTGGCGAAACAAAAGGAGGTTTGAGCTCAAACCTTGGTCTGAGCTGAAACCTTGCTTTGTGAATTCAGGCCAGAATGTTCACATACATGTACAAGTGTACACGATGAATGGCTCGTGCCTATCGACTCTGAACATTTGAATCCGGATTCTCTTCCAAAATTGTTATGTGGGGCCCTACTGCATACATGCTTCTCGCATAATTTGTGATCGTACAAGTCTACAAGAGCTTACAATTCTGTTGGTGTACCGGTATTTCAAATGTTAATGAGGGACAAAGTTACAAATTGAATGCGAAGGATGTGCAGGTCAATATGGATGATGAAACTCTGATTTGAAATGTATTCTTTATTCTCATTTGATTGTGAAAACCATTCCAAGTTGAAAACAGAAAATAGAGAATTCAGAAGACAAATTTGAGAAATCGTCTAGGAACCAATTAGATAAATGCCTGATTTGCCTATTTCATATTGCCATTCTCCACTTTAAGTTTGTAAGCCATTCTTTTTCATTTTTCATTCAAGTTTTGTTTAAACTTTTTTTTCTCTTATTCTTTTGCCTATGTTCAAAGCACTTTGATTTCAGTGTGGTCACATGATGATTGAAGGGTGTGATGATTAATGAAACAATGTATCTTTCTGTGTTGGATAATTAAATCTTAGCCTCGGTTTTTGCCCCTATATTATTAGTTTTTTTAAATATTAAATTTGAAGTAAAAATTACTCTTAAAAGTTCACTTGAATTGTAAATGTTTTGTTCAAGTACTTTATTATCCTTGGGTTAATGAGCATAATCATCCAAAAACCTAGGCAGCTCAAATTTATGATATCATAGTACTCATCTAAAATCAAAGAAACTTGAGAAGATTTTAGACTTCATCAAAATCGGCAGTCGTGCAATTTTATGTATATTTTTTACCCATAAACATGACAAGTTTAAATAATTCTGCCATTGCCAGATTAGGCCTTCCTTAGAAATGAATGTTCACTATTTGTATAGTGTAATTTTTTTTTTCTTTCAGGAAATGATTTCTAGCTTTTCTTACTTACATGGAGTATAATAGGGTATTAATACTATTCATTTTTTGTTGTTTTTAATTTCAACATCAGGTTAAAATTTGAACAAAATAATCTTTCTAAATAGTTTTTTTTTGCCTCATCAGAGGATTTATTGATTATATATACATGGTTACATTCAAAGATACAATACTACAAATCAAATTTACATAATCACAAAAACATTATTATTGTCATAACAAAGAAATGAAATTGAGTTTTGCATTGCTAAGCAATTGAATCTTAATAAACATACAAATTATACTGATAGTTTTGATTCCCTTTCTTTTGTTTTCCTTTTTAATTTTTTTTTTTTTCCAAATTTTTTCCTTTCTTTTCTTAAATAACACCCAACAGTTCTTTTGGTAAAAGCTTTCTGTTCATCTTTAAGTTTGATTTACTTTCCATTCTTTTTATAATTTCTCTATGGAGATTTTGTTTAGAAGCAACTTTTCTCTGGTCTATCCCAGTTATATTTTGTTTAACAATCAATTTATAAATGGTCCAAAATGCTATTGTAAAGAATAATGACTTTCACAATCTATTTTGAGTAGGTGTTGGATATTGAGCGTCAGTATCCTTACTTTGTATATATCTCTTAATATTTCTTTGATATGTTTAATGAAGGGCTCAATTAGTTTGCATTCTATAAATGCGTGATTCATATCCTCTTTTATATTACATGTTGGGCATACATCGTCATTGGATATTCCCCATTTGAAAAGATTACTTCTTACTGGCAATAGGTTATACAGTAATTTCAAATTAAACTCTCGTAATTTGCTTTCTCTAATTTGAGCAAGATTACGCTTGAATACCTTAGACCAATCAATATCTACATTAAGTTGTTTTTTTTTTCCCAATAAAGGCAACATGTGTTAGTTAATACAGTTCTCGAAGGAATGAGTTTATAGAAACGATTGCTACTTATATCAGTAACATGTTTTACCTTATTTGCCACCAACAGATATGGAACATTGTTTTCATTTTCTTGTCTAGTATAATCATGCATAAATTCTTCTTTTAAACTATGGACCCATACAGGAGGTATCGCTCGTTTAAGTCTTGCATAGTCAAACATTGCATTGCATTTTCGTTTGGAATGCACCTGCGATTTAATATATTCTGTTGACCGAAAGCCATCTCTCGTAAAAAGGTCTCCTAAAAATACTAGACCACTCTCATACCAGCCTTTGTAAAAGAGCTACTGATTATCATACACCACATGTTTGTTGTGCCAAATAATCTAATCTGAAACTTTAACTGGTTCATGTATAGATATACAAACATCTTTCACTGTAGTGCAGTATCTAATCATTTCCCATGCTTTTAAGATTTCTACGTAAAATGACAGAATTTTCTTCTGAACTAGAATATCATTAAGTGTGGTTATATTATTAGAGCAGTTCAGCAGTAGCTTGATGCTTCCCAATAAGTTGAACCAGTAAGAAAAAAATGTTTTCCACGCTCCATTACTCTCATTGAAAAATCTACCTAACCATTTCAGTCGGAAGCTGAACAATTGCCTTTGTATGTCAAGTATTTTTATACCACCTTTACTGTAGTCTTCCATAAGAGAAACCCTTTTGATTTTTTCTGTTTTCCCACTCCAAATAAATTTGAATGTAATGCCTTCTATCAACTTCAAAAAGTTTGGAGGGATGGAATCAACCATGATCAAGTGAGTAACTTGGCTAAGTGCTAGACTTTTCAGTACCGTGACTCTTCCAAAAATGGTTAAGCTTCTTTTTGTCCAGCTGTCAAGAATTTTCCTCAATTTTATCAACTTCTGCTCCCAGTCCATCTTTAGAGCTTCATTATTATTAAAATACTTGTAGTGACCTAAGTATCTTATAGGTTTGTGGGACCATTTCAGATCCGGATTCTCTAAATTCCAACTTTTATCAGTGTCTCCTAGCCATATGGCTGTCTTTTCTTTATTCATTCTTGGACCTGCTACTTCGCCAAACTGATTCAGTTCATGTAAAATTCCATTTAATGAAGTTTCATCCGGAACAAAAAATAATGTATCGTCGGCATATTGCAACAACTTTAGTTTAAGGTCATACCCGACCATTTCTATTGGTTTAATAATATTATTTTTTCTCACTTTGTTTGCCATGAGCTCGGCAGCTAAGATAAACAGTAGTGCTGACAATGGACATCCTTGTCGTATGCCTCTTTCAACATCAAAACTTTTGGAAATCCAACCATTAACCAATACCGAACTTGAAATATTTTTATTTAGGGCAGAGATCCATTTGCGAAATGACTCACCAAAGTTAAACTTTTCTAGACATGAGTTAAGAAATTGTATATATCTAGGACATCGAATGCTTTAGAAAAATCTACTAGCATAATTGCTCCAGTTTGACCATTTTTAGTAAAATATTCAATGATGTCTTTTGTCAACCTTACATTACTGGCTGCCAGACGACCTTTTATAACCTGTCTGATTTTCATGTACGATCTCCCCAATGACTTTTTGTACCCTTGCAGCTAAAACCGCTGCCATTATTTTATAGTCATAATTAAGCAAAGTGATTGGTCTCCAGTTTTTTAAATCATGAGCATCACCTTTCTTAAATAACAATGTGATGAGCCCTTTCTTTTGCGTGTCTGACGTAACTCCTGTTGAATAACACTCATTCAATGCTTCAACCACCAATGTTTTTACCTGTGGCCAAAACACCTGATAGAATTCAATAGAGATTCTGTCTGATCCCGGTGTCTTATTTTTCTGCATTGCAAATACTGCACGTTTACATTCCTCTTCGGTAATTAATCCATGACACAATTCTTTGTTTTCGTTAGATAATTGATTAATGTTTTGAAAACCAATATAATTGCTCATATTCTTGGTATCATGCTTTTCGTCTTTATACAAATTTGAATAGTACTTTACAACCTCTTCCATAATCTCTTCATTTTTGCTAACGATTCGACTATCATTTCCACGTTATAATTGTGAAATTTCCTTTTTCTTTGCCTTACTCTTTTCTAAACCAAAAAAATACTTCGTACTTTTCTCTCCTTCTTCCATCCACCTAATACGAGCTCTGATTCCAGCTCCTCTCGATTCATGTCTATAAATCTTCTCTAACTTCTCCTTCGTGTCGGTGTACTCTTTTTCTATTTCATTATCAGGTACACTGACATCAATTTGTTTTTCAAGTTCACACAATTTCTTGTCTAATGAAAATTTATCATTTTTCCTATCGAGTGCTTTTGTTCTACAGAATCTTTCTAAATAGTTGAAATTAGTTGAACCCCCCCCCCCCCCCGCCACAAAAAATAAAAAAATAATAGTACTTTCTTGATAAAAAGGGTTGCTCGACAATAAGCGAGTTCGTAATTGTACACCAAGTTTTCAACTTCAATCCCAGACCCAACCTTTTATCCAACCCTAACCTCGAATCTAATTGCAACTCTAACCATAACCTTATCCCTTTGGTAAAATTATGCCCAGTGTCATTGTCACAGGAGCAAAGGTCAGGTCAGGTCAGGTCAGGTCGGGTCAGGTCAGCACATGTGAGGTCACCCAACTTTATGGACAAAGTAATGTACATGCAAGTGAGAAACCAAAAGTAAATAAAAGAAATATGTTACTATTAAAGCCCCACTGCACTAGCTACTTGCTCCCTCTATATATAGAAAACAATGCCTAATCGGTGACCATTGGTCCCCCATGATCCTCTTTTTCTTATGTTAATTGAGAGCTGAGTTGATGAGATAACCACCTGCAGTGACCACGCTGGGTGGTCTTATCCTTCCTGGCCAAACTAGTGCAGACGGGCTTTAAAACAAGAAGATTTTGAAATCCACTCCTTTTCCAAACCTATTAGGAGTCATATAGGTATTCATGTACTTGAGTTAGATTACCTTTTCCATAGCATTGAAGGGGTTAATTTCTTACAATGCAAGCAGAGTCAATGTATACCTGTAGGTAGCTGACTTTGAACCCTAAGAAAGGCCATACAACCTTTCCTGAATAAAGGCCATTGTTAATCAAATAGCAGGGACGGCTTTCGGTATAATATCTGTTTGTAGTGGGTGGGGCCTGGGTTGTTTGAGGAGGTGTGGCTTAGACCTCTTTCCTAGAAGGAATGCACGGGGGTGTGGCCTATTTTGGATTATTGAGGTGCATTGTGATAGCACCTTTGTGGGGGTCGATCAACCTTTCTTAACAACCTCGAGGAGGGTGACGTTCTAGCGAAAAGGACGAGTGCCCCTTCTAAATCGGACTGTGGCTTTAGAATACCGGTATTGACATATATATTTCGCAATGAAAATATAAAGTTCTATTTTTATGTATGGTTGTGTGTCCTTCCCGACGAAAGACTACAGACTGTACTAAGCAATAGAGGCAGTCCCATAGCGCATGCGCATTAAGTGATAATGAATATGAGATATTTTTTTTTTCTTTACCTGTATGTGAACTCTTTTAGATTATCCGCAAGCGTTGTGTTGTTGTCAGTGTACATTTCCTCAATCTACATTTCTTAGGGTTGCACAACCTTTTCCGATAAAGTTTGTAGACCCATTTTCGGTTGCAGAAAGGTCTCGGCTCTCGTGCATAAATGTGTATGACTGACCGACTTGTCTGGGCCGGCTAGAGAGATAATTTTATGAATGAACACTCCAGACGTAGTCGCGTAGGCTTAATATGCAGGCAACGTTCACGCAAACACGTAGCGCAAGAGAGGGGCGGTATCGTTTAAGGTTGTACTGCTGTTATGTGAACGATCGTTACTTGTTTATCGTAATGATTAGTCCCTCGCTGGACGTGCGGTTGTTTTTGTAAAATCTAGTTTCTTCCTCAGCTCAATCTGCCTGTACTTTTGCATGCGCAGTATACAGTGTACATGTAAATGTGGATCTATCATGGTGTATTCCACAGTTACATGATGCGGAATATAAGAGTGAAATATGATGCTCTTAATAATAATAATAATTAAAAAAACGGCGCTTATAAAGCGCTTTACCACCGAAGTCTCTAGTCATTAGCCATGATTCTACATGTACAGGTACTTATATTATGCACATACATAACGTGTGCAAGGGGCAGTTTGGGAAATCACTGGATTGCAAATGAAGGGCAAATTTATCCTGTTGCCATGTGGATATTAAAGGTCTGAATATTCAAAGAAGCTTAAATTTCAAACGAACCTTCACACACATTTCATATTGCCATGTGGATATCAAAGGTCTGAACATTTGAAGAAGCTGAAATTTCGAATGAACCTTCACACACATTTCCTACTGCTTAGAAATGTATAGTAGGAAAGGAGAATGGCAGGACATTACAAATAAATATGCAAGCCTACAGGAAGCTTATAACGCACATTTGAAAAGGTCGTTCATGTTTTTACCTCTTTCGGAAAAGGCAGACAACAGGTCTTTTATGCAAGAAAAAAGTTGCGCAACCTTTTCCGTGAAATAGGCAGACATATTTTATGAACTGAGAAAAGGTCTTGCAGCCTTTTTTGGAATGGGAAATCACCGGTAGCCAAATAGGTGTGCGCAGTTAGGACTTTGGAGCAGTAGAGATGTGTTGAAAATCTAAATGTTTTGCTGTTAGTGCCCTTTTTTATGTAATGCTCCGTATTTCTAGTCTGCGGTGCTTACCCCGAAAGGGTGACTGATCGGTAAAGAAAAGAAACGGATGGATCATAGCACTGGACTTTGGCCGAGACTTTTAAAGCGCACCCTCTGTGGGCCTATGCATGTACAGTGTGCATACTACATTGAATTACGATGTACGTCTGTGTTAAATCCTGGTATTATTTCCATTACATGTAGTATGTACACTTCCATTTCCTTACCATCAGAAGGAAGAAAGGAGATGAAAGTTCAAATGAGTAGCAAGATTATTTTTGTTAAAAGATATTTTTAAATTATTATTTTGTTGTTGTTGAATTGTTGGCCTGTTTTCCTCGCATGATTACAGGAATGATTGGAAAAAACACAGAAATAATTAAACAAAAACTATATTTACGATTATTTCAACTAGGGAAAAGTAACATCATTGTAACTCTGTCTGAACAGCCATGTGGCATTAATGGTTCAAGGGACACAGAATCGTATTGCCTGTTTGGAGCCGAAAGGGCATTAAGTTCTCATAAATATTACTCAGAATTAAATCCCTTCTGGCTCCTAACAGACGGAAGAAGTATTGAAATTATCCCCTAAGTTGTTATCTTGAAAGTCTTTGTTCTTTGATCTTGTATTTTTTTTTTAAATTGAAAAATACCTTTTTGCCAACATTAAGGAATTCATAAACAATTCCTCTTCTATTTCAACCACTTAAGATAAAGCTACAAAGGTACATGGCAGCGGGGCTCAAGAAATCACTTCCCAAGAGACCCCAGAGCAGTGCCCGACCGAAGAAGGTACCAACGACAAGACTCCCCTTGATACCGAATCAAGGCTACCCGTACCAGCTAAAGATGCGGACAAGACCCATTGTCATGGTGATGGGATGAGTGATGAGAGGATGGACGTCGACACTGAAGGGCAGGAGAAGAACAGCCGCGGCTTCAGAAAGGATCGCAGGAAACAGAAGAGAGCCCCTAATAATAGAGGAAAGGTGGCAGAGAAAAGGACGGAGCAGAATAAAGCGACTTTACTTGAGATGGTAAGCTATTAGTAATTAAATTTTTTACCCCCAGACTTCGTACAGGCAGGGTACTTTTTTTTTGCTGTGGTTAGATTGGTTGATGTGTGTCATTTTCTCATTTGCTCATTGTTTCTGTCGACTGTGAATGGAAGATGACCCAAACTCTTTAACTCTTCATCTAGTGTTAAGTTGGTCATCCGCCCATACTTTATGTTAAATGCTCACTCTCTGCTCTCCCTCTGTCTCTCTCTCTCTTTCTCTTTCTCTTTCTCTCTCTCTTTCTCTTTTTCTCTTTCTCTTTCTCTCTCTTTCTCTCTTTCTCTCTTTCTCTATCTCTCTTTCTCTTTCTCTTTTTCTCTCTCCTTCCCTCTTTTTCTCTTTCTCTCTTTCTCCTTCTCTCTCTGTCTCTCTTTCTATCTTTTCCCTTCTCTCTTTCTCCTTCTCCTTTTCTCTCTCCTCTTTATCTATCTCTCCCTTATTCCTTGTTTCTCTTTCCCTTCCCTCTCTCCCTCTCTCTCTCTCTCTCTCTCTCTCTCTATACATACAGTTTAACAACTAAATTATTTCATACCCCTTGTAAATTTGATGCTTAATGTGTTTTTCATTACTCAAGAACGAAAGGTCGACTGGTTGAATTATGGCTTTGGTTGAACGCTTTTAGATGTCAGCTTAATATGTTACATTCTCAAGATACTTAAATCGGGACACATCAACCTTTCACGTACTTACAAGATTACAAAACTTGGTAAGGGTATGAATAATGTTGTTGTTATTAACTGTACATGTCTCAGACGTAGACTTTTGTGATCAGCTTGTACCACATTGCATTCTCTGTCTCTCTGTCTCTTCTCTTCTACTCCTAAATCCTAAGTCATTTCAAGTCCACCCCTTTATTGCAAAAGGAAAAAAAGAGGAAGAGGAAGAAGAAGAAAACAAATGAATCGAAATAACAATAAACAAGAAAAAGATTAACATAAGGTTGAAAATTTGAAGAAAATTATTTGAGACAGTATAAGAATTATGATGTGAAAATGCAATTGTATTTGCCAAATGTATCGTTGATATTTTGCGTGCAGTGATTCAACAGGCATTGTCGTGTACACCTAAGGGCAAAAGTAAAATCAACTATTAATGAAAAATTAATTTATGTGATTGATATTTATCGTAGGGTTATGCGCTTAGATAAATCTTTCATTGTGATAAATTCAAAAAGTCAATTAGTATCTTTCTGTTATTGAACTGTTTTGTAATGAAATAGGTTTTCATTACGGGCAACCACTAGCCAACCAGACATACTTTTCCTGGTCTGCAGGCACAGGTACTAAAATGACACTTGAACACATTTCCATAAAGCCTTGGGCTTAGCCTAACTTTTACTTTCATATACATTTACATATGTAAGTTACATTTATCGTCGAGTTATGCACTCTATCTCTCTTTCTCTTTCTCTCTCTTTCTCTCTCTCTCTCTCTCTCTCTCTTTGATCTCTTTTTCTTTATCTCTCTTTCTCTCTTTCTCTCTCTCTTTCAATCTCCTCTCTATCTCTCTCTATCTCTCTCTATCTCTCCCTTTCTCTCTCTCTCTTTCAATCTCTCTCTCTTTCTCTCTCTCTCTTTCTCTCTCTCTCTCTCTCTCTCTCTCTCTTTTTTTTTCTTTTATTGAGTGCCATAGACTTTACAGTTTGTATAGTCTCATAGTTCAGACCTCCTGTTTTGCAACATGACATGCACGGGGTACGTGTCTGCAAACTGGGTGGGTTCACGTGCCCTTTGAACACGGTGGAAACTCACACCTGCCAACCAATCATACCTATTATACCTATTTCAGAGAAACGATTCCCCGTTTCGGGCCTCAAAGTCAAATTGACAGACCCTAGATCCTTTCTGTCATGAAAAGGTCTTTGTGTCAATAGCATACAATATACAAGTTCAAAGAAAAGGTCAACTGGTCTTTGGAATGCCCTTTATTTGACATTGAGCTACCTATTGTTGTTTGAATAACAAAAGAAATAAATAAATAAAATATCTTCTATAAATTATGACATGAATTGACTTTAAAAGATCGAGCCATGTGTATCTGTAAATGCTGTGATGTTCCACTTTTCTATAAATAACGTTTACAGTTTATCTGTATTTCCTCGATGATGTAAAGTAGTTCGTGCGAATGGGCATGCATGTACTATGAGGCAATCTTGTATAGGACTGAACCAAATAGAGATATGAGGAGAAGTTTTAGTTTCTGGTAGAAATAAAATAAAAATATATACGAGCTGTCTGAAAGAGTACCAATCACCAAAACATGTTTTTTCTTGATGTAAAATGTCCAAAGTCCTTTGAAAGCACATACATGTACCTCATACAGATCATGTGCTAAACAATTTACAAAAAATTATAACCATCATTATTGTACCTTTCATATGTACATGTTATTATTATTATTATTATTATTTATTTGACCAATCAGAAAACATACAATGAGTATAACAATCAGATAATACATAGACATTTCATAATACATTCAAACAGCTTTATGAAAGTGGAGAGGAGATAGAGAGAAGGATACAATCTGCTGGTCAGGGGTGACAAAAGCAATTTAAATTGCTATTACTCGAAAGCATGTCAAAAGCATGTACCTCTCACAAGGTAGCTATGAACTTTTTAGTGGAAAATAAAATGCAGAAAGTTATGCATATGTGTTATCTTGCCATTTCAACTCCTTAAGAATTTGTTTTCACTCTTTTTATATCCATTCTGCAGCTTCTAGCACCTGAAATCCGACGAGAGAGGAACATCATACTCCAATGTGTGAGGCACGTCGTTAAGAACAACTTCTTCCAAGGGTCTAAGCCCTGACCACAAATGGCCCCTATGGAACTGTACCGACCAGTCCAGTGTAACCAGGGCCTTCAATCGTCAACAAGAGTCCAGTGAGTGTTTCCATTGGAACGGTACTGACAAGGACCTTCATCCTTCTACATGTATAATATGCCGGCATCCTGATGTGTCTCTAATGGAACTTACAGACCATTCTTTTACAACCAGATGTCTACAAGATTCCAGAACATGACAGCGTCCCTTCTTATGAAACTGTACCGACCAGTGCTGTGAAACCAGGGCCTTCAGCTCTCCACAAGACTCCAAAACTTTGAGCGTCCATTCAAATGAAATCTCACCGACCAGTGCTGTGAAACCAGGGCCTTCAGCTCTCCACAAGACTCCAAAACTTTGAGCGTCCATTCAAATGAAATCTCACCGACCAGTGTTGCGTAACAAGGCCTTCAGCTCTTTGCAAGATTCGAGAACTTCACAGCGTCCCTTCAATGAAACTTTACCCACCAGTGTTACGTAACCAGGCCTTCATCCATTTTCATGAATAATATTCCAGGACTTCACAGCGTCCCTTCAAATGAAACTTACAGACCATTCTTGAACAACCAGGCCTCCAGATGTCTACAAGGTTCCAGAACCTCACAGCGACCCCTGTGAAACTGCACTGACCAGTGTTGTGTAACCAAGCCTTCAGCTCTCTGCTAGACTCCAGCACCTTCAAGTAGACTGGTGGAACGGTCTCATAGGCTGATGGTCTATTGGACATTTCAGATCTATATTATCTTAATTATTGCTTTGTTTTGTCATATATGTTTTTAAAGCTAGCCGTCTGTGAATGTTGCTCATTTGGGATGTATGTGTACCTGGATAACTCCATTGTTATCAAGGTTTAACTACTTCTGTGAAACTGAATCAAAATCCAAACAGATCAAAACGAAAGCAGCATACCTGTTGTTCAGTAAAGAATGAATACAAATGCCTCCTATTCATTCACAGTAGCCCCTCTTTCAGACTTTCCAAATTTATTGTATTGCTATATGATTATTACCTGTTCTCTAGTTTGAATGTCAAAATATAGTTGAGCATCGTTTCAATTGGAAACTTGATAGAGAATCAGGCTCATTCTCACCAGAACGTTGTCTCGTTTGAAAACCATAACTGGGCAGGGCTTATCGTGAGCATGCACTGATGATTGGTCAGTTGTCATGTCAACTGACCCCTTGAAAACCTGGTTTCTTGAAACGATGTTCTTTTCTAGAGTTTAGGTCCCTTTGGCCTAACGGTGAAACTTTATACAAGTTATGTCTAAATTTGTCTCCAATCTGAAAGGGCTATGAGCGATTGTTGGTGTTGACATTAGCAAGAAGTGCTTCAAAGAAATGGCTATGACAATGCTGATTAATATATGTATTTCTGAATTTGCTCTTCAAATCTGATATGTGCCCATTTTTTATGAAATAGCCATTTTAGGTACAGCACATTTTAGTTTCCTTTCATTCATTTGGACATGTATCAAATGGTAACAGTGTTATTGCAACTATTGCAGGCACCAAACAAAATGCTTTACATTTTTTTTTTTTTAGTTGTGCACATTTTATATTAATAACACTACCTTTTAATACAGGGTGTCCCTCAAAAAAAAAAGGAAACCCCAGTTTACAGGTAAATAACTTGATAATTTGAATAATTCCTTGGTTAATTTATATATGATTGGGAAGCTCAATTTCTGCTCTTGCTAACGACACCAAAGTCATGGTCAAGAGGTCAAGCATGGCTAATTTCAGACAGCCCACAGTTGCAGTGTACGAAACCCACTTGCCCAAAATAAGAGGATGGCTGTTAAGTTTGGGCCTCTATGGTTTTGAAATGATGATAGTAAATGATCTGGAATTCATTGTTAAACATACATGTAATTTAAAAGCTCATATTCTCTTCTTTCATTTGAGACCATGATCATAATGGAAGGATCATGCATGAGTGTGCAGGTAGCAGAGTTTGTGAATGGTCAGGCACATGGCATTTTGTTTTAAAAAATGAAATGAGGCAGTTGGCCGTAATTATTGCAATTGTGCCTGCTAAGCCCAATCATAATTCTATGTTTGATTATGGTGTCATTTGAAGATGAGATTACAAGCTTTTGAATGATATGTATATTCAATAATGAACATTTCCATATCCTTTTCTTTCCATAAAAATAGCGTACGGTAAGTAATCAAAGGAAGCAGCCATTTGCTTATTTTGGACAATTCGGTCTTTGCGACACTTCTAATACAGATGGTGTGAAATTGGTCAGGAGTGAAATCTTGATCATGGTTTCGGTGTCATATAAAATAAAATAATTTGCACTTTCCAACGATATATAGATAACTTGTTGACCATATATTGCGAGACAAACAAATGTCACTAGAGGTATTATTTTTGATATTATATCCGCAATTAGTAATATATTTAGCATTATTAATATACAAATTATTGAAAACAAATTATTTAGAATTCTTGAGTAATTTAACAACAAACATGGGTGTCCTCCTTTTTTTTTGAGGAACAGGTCTGTATAATAACAGATTAGGAGTGATGTAAATTAGATTCCAAATTTTGGCAAAGCAACTCAGTATGAAATAAGGTATTTACCTTCTCTGTCTTTCTTTGTGTGTCATTTAGTCAAATTTGTTTGAAAGAGTCAAAAAGATATAATTGCAGTCCCATACTTTCACTGTGAATTTATTTCATTTGATTCTAATGAGCATTTTTTATATATTTTTTTAATGTCAAATAACGATTAATGACATAAAGCAATTTCGTTTTGAGTGATTCAGAAGATTCTAACCCTGTTAATCATTACTACCATAATTCAAAAGAACTTTTAATCTCTTATTTTTCCTGTCAGACCAAAGAATTCATGTCATGGTCCATGTTGAATAACGTCTATTTCAGTCGACATTTCAAGTTTTGTCAAGATCAGCAAAATTGAACTATCATTACAATTATGTTCAAGAAGTACTTTATATACTACGAAGAGTTAAGATTGATCCAAATCAATCGCAAGTCCTCCAATCAATCGCAATTTTGCAATCTCCTATCTCTAATGTACATACTTGCGATTGATATCAACTCTTTGCAAGACAGGGCCCTGGGGGGTGTTTCACAAAGATCCTAAGTAGAACTTAACTCTAAGTTGGACTTAAAAATTATGGACAGCCATTGGAGTCTTAAAATGAAATATATTCAAAAGCAGAAATTCAAGTATTTTATACTTTTTATAAATTCCACATCCAGAACATGAAATCTCCTTGAGAATAGAAAATATGAATGATTTGAATAAACAATTAATGCCTTTCACAATAACTTTTACAAAATATTTTCAAAGATGCTAATGGCTTTCCATAATTTTTAACTCCAACTTAGAGATAAGTTAAACTTAGGATCTTTGTGAAACACCCCCCTGGTGCCATAAATATCGACGGTATCTATTGACCTACATAATATTTTTTAGTAACAGATATGATTATTAAAATGTCAAATGATATCTTTAAAAGTCTTCTGGAATTGATTTTGTAACGTGTATCGGTCTGAATGCTCCCTTTTGAAATAATATGTACTTTTATTGCGACACATCATTATTCAGAGTTGATGTAAGTCGAAGTTGAAATAATAACCCCGATGAACATTTGTCTGTTATGAGGGCCCCGTTGCAAAAAACTTTCCATTGATGGTAACTTTGCCATCAATGGTAACTGGCATGGAAACCTTGATTTCGTTGGCTGTTTAGCCTGGTTACTTTCAATGTTAAGTTTTATGCAACAGGGGCCAGACCATGACGAAATGGACTCTAGAGAATTTTTCACAAAGGCAAATTTAGCACCCGATTGTATTGCATTAAGAAATCATTTTTGATGGGCACATTACCAAAGGTGAAGCTTGAGGCTCTTGAAGGTGCCTTAGGTTGATTATCCCAGTCATTGCTAACATGTTCTGAAATACGGTTGCACCAGAGCAGATGTATGACTCGATTCAATTCAATTCAATTCATATTTATTTAATTTCCAACAGAAAGATAAACAAAGGTATTGCATATATTATTACAGAAAGTATGAACAAAATGTATGTACATAATTCAGTTTGTCTTGGTAACTATACAAATACACTTTACACATAGTGAAAAGATTACAAGAAATTCTTAATTTATGAGGAAATGGGGGGGGGGGGGGTCACTAAAAATCAGTGCTTGTAGTTTGTGGATCCCCCAGACTAGGTCCCACCTGAAAGTTTACTAAAGAAGTAGAAGATGAAATAAATTTAGGAGGAGACGAAAAGTATGAAGAAGAAGAAGAAGGAGGAGGATAGGAAAGTAAGAAGAATAAGAAGAAAAGAAAGAAGGAGAGAAAGGGGAGAAGAAGAATGAGAAAGACAAAAAAGAAGGAGGAGGAGGAGGAGAAAGAGCAAATATGAAGAAATGAAGAGAGAGAGAGAGAGAGAGAGATAAAGAAATAAAGAAAAGGAAAGAGAAACTAGTCGAGGCTTAGAGCCTGATCAAATCTTATTCTCATAGCTGTGATTATCATAACGATAAGATAATGTGAACGAGTTTGGCATACACTCAAACTTAAATCAATATTTACAGTTATTACTATATCGGTATTACTATCAATGTAATCGTCATTGATAAAAATAGAATGATAGCCGCGAACTTTTTTTATTTTTGGTTCACAGAGAGAGAGAGAGAGAGAGAAAGACTGAGGGATTACTTGACAGCATAAAACGCGGGAAATATTGCTTTTGATATCGAAAGCTGTACTAGTTTTGCAAGTATGAAATTATCCAAGGTCGCAGATATAATACCAGCACACAACTAAAATCTAAATACATTTTACTTCTATTTGCATACAAATGTGCATAATTAAACCTCATTATGGTAAAAACGTACAAGTTAAACGCCTGGCAACATTCATGTATGAATTCATCAGCGAAAGTTTCCGGGTACACAAATGTCCAGGTGGGGCGAATAGGTGGACCATAAATATATTTTTTAGAAAAAAACAAAATACGAGGTCGGAGGCCCTTTTCCCCGTGTCATATCACATGGTCTAAACAGCTGCCCATTGAGGTAGGTATAGACACAAAGAGATCATTGCAATAGGACTACAGATTTTGCTGTCGATAAAAATCACTGCCCTTTCACGTGCTTGCAATGGAATTTAACTGAAAAGAAAATGCACAAAAGGCCATTGTTGAATGTAAATTTTGAAGCTTGGCGTACGTGCACACTGGCATGTTTGCGTTTTTTTTTTGTTTTTTTTTTGCAAAGGTATATTACGCCATCGTCTAGGTTGTTATTGTTGTTGGGTTTGTGTTGGCGCTATGCATCGATTTTGATGATTTCCGTCAGGTTTAATGTGAGAGGGCGTCTTGCCTTTTAGGGATTCCGCCCCTTTTTCTAATCATAATATAGGAATAGGAATGCCATTGTTAGGCGTGATTTAGAGCCGATTTCCGACATAAATTTTGTCCATAGTTTCTGCGGGGTCAGAAAAGAGGGGAAGGGAGTGGTTGGGGAGAGGTAAACCATCAAAAGTTTCTGTTTTGTGTGTTTTTCTTCTTAAATTTGGCGGGGAGGGGTCGCCCCCTTCATGATGCTTGTTTGATAAGGAAGAACGTGTTGATGGTAATATATACAGACTACAGCGACACTGTTGGTCCGGTGGGCCTTCTGACAATCTTCTTAAGGGTTCACTGGGCCGACAGCCCAATGGAATGAGACCGACGTTGTCCCTAATGCAGTTCCTTGTTTTGTGTGCCTCGTGGCCCATCGGTCTGCTGGACCAAATGGAGCGTTCTTCTTTGTTATAATCATTTCTGTCGGTCCCGTAGGCTGTCGGTTTACTGGAATGTTCACAGACCTACTTATCATCATGATAAACTCCACCATAAATCTACAAATCTGAAATATAATAAATTATCGAGGGACGTCTTCCGCCCAACCGTGACTTACAAAACAATTATCGCGTTATGTAAATATACGTAGGTTTGGGAGGCAAAGGCTCAATTCTACGTGAGAGTTTGAATACAATACATAGTCCTCTGCCCTCTCAGATTTACCTTTGTCATATTTTCTTCATAGCGTTGCTCAAGGACATTTTTGTATATTTTGATTTTAAAAATGCCTTAATTTGTAGAAGGTGGCGTCTAGCGCTTTATTTACCAGATGTTCCTCTTTCTTTGGGGTCTATCCGCCCTTTCATTCTAGTTCAATCCATTTCGATTTCCAATCTCATTTCAATTATATATACACATTATTATAAACTAGAATGAAGTTTATGCACATAACTCCTGTTTTTATACTGCTGCTCCACCCGTCCCATATAATAAAATAACCCTACTACTACTACTACTACTACTACTACTACTACTACTACTACTACTTCTATTACTGCTGCTGTTACTATACGACTACTACTATTGCTACTACTGCTACTACTACTACTACTGCTACTACTATACTACTACGACGACAACTACTCCTCCTCCTACTACTACTACTACTATTACTACTACTACTATACTACTGCTGCTACTAGTACTGCTACTACTACTGCTATTACTAATACTACTTCTACTTCTACTACTTCTACTACTACTACTACTACTACTACTATTACTACTTCGACTCTACATATTTTAACCACCTCTTCTCTCTCTCTCTCTCTCTCTCTCTCTCTCTCTCTCTCTTTCTCTCACTCTCCTAAAAGGTTTTTCAACCCGGTCTACTTCTTGAACCTTTTAAGTGCAGATAGAAGTATTGACTGATATGTCAAAGCCCACAGACGTGCCCTGTGTCTAATCATCTACCCATACTTCGCACCAACCCTGGTAAATTCTTTTCATTGCCAAAAGTTGTTGATATTTTATAGAAACGTCACAATCATGACTATATATAGAGCGATGGCATAATACACGCGTAATACATACGTGATTGATGTAATGAGGAACTATTTGTGAACGAGAAAATTACCGACGAGGCGCCATTGTAACGTATGCGGTCTCTGATTGGTCGCCCAGTACGTCGGTGTGTTCATTTTACTTCTCGGTGATTGGGCGGGTGGGTGTCAGTTCTCATGAATATTCAATACACTGTCCTTGTTGTGTCATCGAAGCAACGATTACGTTCAGTGATTGCATGTTATTATCAAAAATAGTTTTCGCCGATAGTGAAAAAGGTTTCTCAACCCCCTCTCCCTCTATACTGTGACTTATAAAGACCGTCCTTATAAACCCAACCATCTAATCTTTTCCTCACTCTTGTGATTATTTTTGCTACCCCGCCACTTAAAACAAACAAACAGCGTGCTGTGTGAGTATTTATAAGCATCTAGTGATAAGAATTTTGAGAATTTGTCTGCAGAAATACAAAATTGGACGACCTAGGCCTGGCAGATTGTAGATGAAGTAGGTGCGACCCAATTCATATTTGACAGAGCGATGGAAACCAAGGTAGGATGGCGATGATTGTATCAGGTTTTATTCTTTAAAATATTGCAATGTTGTCTCATTCGAAACAAGTTTTTCATAACTCGTCAACTGCAACACATTTATTTATTTATTTCTGACATTGAGACAGTGTGACTCATT